CAAGATCGCAAGTTCTGCCTATTCGGCACGACATATATATATATATATATATATATATATATATATATATATATATATATATTATATATATATATATATATATATATATATATATATATATATATATATGAAAATTTGTGTATGCAATAATTTCGCCAAGATCATTCTGAACCTAACGAAAAGAATATATTTGACTGTGTTTGTTTACTACTAAATTACTGTAAACGTATTTAAAATATATTTAGTTGGGTTAGGCTAAAATAAATGGCCTCCACCAACAGATACAGTCACTAATGCCGGACCCCCCCCCCCCCCAGTACCAACAATACCACCAGTCCGACGATATTCTTCTTTGCAAATATACAGGGTCTAAAGCCAGCAACAAACAACAAAATACCTTTCATTCGTGGACTGCTTGCAGAGGCAAAGGCAATGTTCACGGCTTTCACTGAGACCCACATAAAGGATCACTTGGACAACGAAATATGGATCCCAGGTTACAACCTATACAGATGCGACACAGTGAACACGCAAAAGGGGGAGGGTTGGCCTGTACATTGCAGAGTCACTTGTGTGCACAGAACTGCTAAATGCCTCAAATGATGTAGTGGAAGTTTTAGCAGTAAAGATCGAGAACCAAAACCTAGTCATTGTGGTAGTCTACAAGCCTCCGGATGCAACATCCCAGCAATTCCAGGAACAGCTTTTAAAAATTGACCACTGTCTGGAAAATCTGCCAGCTCCTGCACCCAACATCTTGCTCCTAGGGGATTTCAACTTAAGGCACCTAAAATGGAGGAATATAGCAAATAATACTGTTGCAGTAATAACACCAGGAGGCAGCTCTGATGAAAACTCACACTCACACAGCTTTTAAATCTCTGCACAAAATTCAATTTAAACCAGCAAATAATAGAGCCTACTAGACTGGAGAATACATTAGACCTCATCTTCACTAACAATGATGATCTGATACGAAATGTCACCATATCAAAAACAATATACTCAGATCACAACATAATTGAGGTTCAGACATGTATGCGCGGAGCCCCAGACCGACATAATGAGATTAGTTACGAGGGAGCATTCACCAAATTCAACTTCAATAACAAAAACATAAAGTGGGACCAAGTAAACCAAATCCTAACTGACATAAGCTGGGAAGATATACTAAGCAACACAGACCCCAACTTATGCCTAGAACAGATTAACTCGGTGGCGCTCGATGTATGCACAAGGCTTATTCCTCTAAGAAAAAGGAGAAGTAGATGTAAAATAGAAAGGGACAGGCACTCCCTTTACAGGCGACGGAAAAGAATAACAGAGCGGCTAAAAGAGGTCAATATATCTGAAAGGCGTAGGGAGACACTGGTCAGAGAAATAGCAAGCATCGAACTTAAGCTAAAGGAATCTTATAGGAGTCAGGAATCGCGGGAAGAACTAAAAGCCATAAATGCCATAAATGAAATCGATAGAAACCCAAAGTATTTCTTCTCCTATGCCAAATCAAAGTCGAGAACAACGTCCAGTATTGGGCCCCTACTTAAACAAGATGGGTCCTACACAGATGACAGCAAGGAAATGAGTGAGCTACTCAAGTCCCAATATGACTCAGTTTTTAGCAAGCCGCTAACCAGACTGAGAGTCGAAGATCAAAATGAATTTTTTATGAGAGAGCCACAGAATTTGGTTAACACAAGCCTATCTGATGTTATCCTGACGCCAAATGACTTCGAACGGGCGATAAATGACATGCCCATGCACTCTGCCCCAGGGCCAGACTCATGGAACTCCGTGTTCATCAAGAACTGCAAGAAGCCCCTATCACGAGCTTTTACCATCCTATGGAGAGGGAGCATGGACACGGGGGTCGTCCCACAGTTACTAAAAACAACAGACATAGCCCCACTCCACAAAGGGGGCAGTAAAGCAACAGCAAAGAACTACAGACCAATAGCACTAACATCCCATATCATAAAAATCTTTGAAAGGGTCCTAAGAAGCAAGATCACCACCCATCTAGAAACCCATCAATTACACAACCCAGGGCAACATGGGTTTAGAACAGGTCGCTCCTGTCTGTCTCAACTATTGGATCACTACAAGGTCCTAGTTGCACTAGAAGACAAAAAGAATGCAGATGCAATATATACAGGCTTTGCAAAAGCCTTCGACAAGTGTGACCATGGCATAATAGCGCACAAAATGCGTGCTAAAGGAATAACGGGAAAAGTCGGTCGATGGATCTATAATTTCCTCACTAACAGAACACAGAGAGTAGTAGTCAACAGAGTAAAGTCCAAGGCAGCTACGGTGAAAAGCTCTGTTCCACAAGGCACAGTACTACAGTACTTGCTCCCATCTTGTTCCTCATCCTCATATCTGACATAGACAGGGATGTCAGCCATAGCACCGTGTCTTCCTTTGCAGATGACACCCGAATCTGCATGACAGTGTCTTCCATTGCAGACACTGCAAGGCTCCAGGCGGACATCAACCAAATCTTTCAGTGGGCTGCAGAAAACAATATGAAGTTTAACGATGAGAAATTTCAATTACTCAGATATGGCAAACACGAGGAAATTAAATCTTCATCAGAGTACAAAACAAATTCTGGCCACAAAATAGAGCGAAACACCAACGTCAAAGACCTGGGAGTGATCATGTCGGAGGATCTCACCTTCAAGGACCATAACATTGTATCAATCGCATCTGCTAGAAAAATGACAGGATGGATAATGAGAACCTACAAAACTAGGGATGCCAAGCCCATGATGACACTCTTCAGGTCACTTGTTCTATCTAGGCTGAATATTGCTGCACACTAACAGCACCTTTCAAGGCAGGTGGAAATTGCTGACCTAGAAAATGTACAGAGAACCTTCACGGCGCGCATAACGGAGATAAAACACCTCAATTACTGGGCGCTTGAGGTTCCTGAACCTGTATTCCCTGGAACGCAGGCGGGAGAGATACATGATTATATACACCTGGAAAATCATAGAGGGACTAGTACCGAACTTGCACACGAAAATCACTCACTACGAAAGCAAAAGACTTGGCAGACGATGCAACATCCCCCCAATGAAAAGCAGGGGTGTCACTAGCACGTTAAGAGACCATACAATAAGTGTCAGGGGCCCGAGACTGTTCAGCTGCCTCCCAGCATACATAAGGGGGATTACCAACAGACCCCTGGCAGTCTTCAAGCTGGCACTGGACAAGCACCTAAAGTCGGTTCCTGACCAGCCGGGCTGTGGCTCGTACGTTGGTTTGCGTGCAGCCAACAGTAACAGCCTGGTTGATCAGGCTCTGATCCACCAGGAGGCCTGGTCACAGACCGGGCCGCGGGGGCGTTGACCCCCGGAACTCTCTCCAGGTAAACTCCAGGTAATAAGGTTAGGTAAGTTTTCTAAGATTCTTTTGTTGCAAAATTAAAAATTTCTACATTAACATTAATGAAACAAATATATCTTTAAACGTATACGAGAAAATTTCAGAAAGGACTTAATTTTAAATGAGTTCTTGGTAATTGACCAGTTTTACATATTCGGCACGACATATATATATATATACATATACATATTAGACAGCTAGATTGGAAGATATAATCTGCTCAACACATGTTCGTAGCAAGGTTGTATGTTTCACTGTATATACATTGAGAGTTCGCTTTAATCCCTATTTTAGGAATTAAAGTGTCCTTGACTGGTAGTGAATAGGTTACACGTGACCTTAAATGATCGTTACATAGTTGACAAGCTTTAAATCCAGTTAATCGAACTATTTATATCATACGAGTAAGTAGCTGAGGCTGCAGTGGCTGTCTGTATAATAGCAACTTAAAAATCATTATTTTAGAAGTGTTCAAATTTTACATTGAGAAAAAATCTCAAGCAGTATTTTATGAGTGTCTTATCTATATGCCTGATAAAAAACTAGTATGTGTTAGGGGGTACCTTACTTTTATACTTTATTGAAAAATTAAAACATTGTAGGGGTACCTCACCATTATGTTTCGTAGGCAAGGCATTAGCCAACCTCTCCTTCCTTGAATAAAACCTAATTGTTTTTCTTTCCTTAGGAGACAGGGTTCACTGCTTCCCTGTTAATGCCTTATTTCCATTGGGTCCTTTAATCTTGTCCCCCAAGGTGTGACCCACACCAGTTTACTAAAACTCAGGCGAACAGGGACAGCAGGTGTAAGGATACGTGCCCAAGGTTTCCACCTATGCTGAGGACTAAACTATGGACACTTGATATGTGAGCTGAGTGTGCTATCAACGGAGTCATGGGACCAGTGTGTGAGGCGAGTGCGTTGCCAACCGAGCCATGGGAAGCCACTATATGAACTATATGATTAGGCGGTGCCCCGTGGCCTGGTGGCTAAAGCTCTCGTTTCACACGGTGTATGTCCGGGTTCGATTCTCGGCGAGGGTAGAAACTTTGGGCGTGTTTCCTTACACCGGTTGTCTAAATGTATGTTCACCCATCAGTAAAATTGGTACCTGGGTGTTAGTCGACTGGTATGGGTCGCATCCTGGACAAAACTAAGATAATATAAGATTTCGTTCGGATTTTTAACCCCGGAGGGTTAGCCACCCAGGATAACCCAAGAAAGTCAGTGCGTCATCGAGGACTGTCTAACTTATTTCCATTGGGGTCCTTAATCTTGTCCCCCAGGATGCGACCCACACCAGTCGACTAACACCCAGGTACCTATTTGCTGCTAGGTGAACAGGACAACAGGTGTAAGGAAACGTGTCGAAATGTTTCCACCCGCCGGGAATCGAACCCGGGCCCTCCGTGTGTGAAGCAGGAGCTTTAGCCACCAGGCCACCGGGCCACCCTAACCTAATATGCCCAAAATGCTCTGCATAACAAGCGGCTTTCTATATACTAGTATGTCATTGATGTTAGCTAGGCTTGCATACCTTGTACATATACATTACTTATAGAAATAAAGATATTAAAAAAAAACATTTTTAGGGGTATCTTACCTATAAAGTAAAACGCAGGTTTGTTGTTGTGTCCATTACGTAGAATCTTAATGGTGCGAATCATGACGCCCAGGTTGACGAAGAACGTGATGAAACCTAGCACCAGCATGGCGATCATGAGGGCCAGCGACATGCGCCCATCGCAGAAATCTGGTGACAGGAATGAGAGCTTATCACACTTGTTTATGTCGTGCAATAAAGGGGGGGAGAGGGAGTGTTAGAACTATAGCTAGTCATTAGTTAGACGAAATGTTATTTGAAAATAAATATTTTACAGTAGATTCTACGTATTGTTATATGGAAGAAATCACAGTAAAACGCGTGACTGCAAATATGAACAAAATACCACATGGATAATAGGAAATAAAACCTGAGCGTTTTCATGTGCTTACACATACATCTGAAGATGTGAGTAAGGACATGAAAGCGCTCAGGTTTTGTTTCTTATTTTCACTGGTATTTTTTTCGCATTGATATATTTTGTAAGTTTGCATTAAACCGATTTTAATGTTAAACTAAGGTTTATTTGAGATTACATTTAATGCTAAATAGCATAATGTGGCTGGGGACCTGGCTATAATTTCACACACCTGGCACATTCATGATTAATAGTACATACTTTGTTATTGAAGATCTAAACCCATATGAACTTCGTTTAATATTTTAAATGTATTTGGAGACGATTTTATTCAGGTTATTTTTAAAAAAGTTTTTATTCAAATTATTCATCTGAAGTGTTAATAATCCATTATAACCAAAGAAAGCAAGAGTCGTATATGGATGCAACCTATGGCAGTCGACTAACTCCTAGGTAGCTATTTACATCTAGGAGACAGGAACGAGATAACAACAGGTGTCTGGAGCCTTGTACGTCCCGCCTCGTTCGGGGTTAACCCGGAGACTTTCAGTTACGAACCATGGCTTGGTAGCGTTCTCGCCTTACACAGTGAGTGTCCGTGGTTCAGTCTCTGGCATGAATGAAAACATTGGGCATGTTTCCTTACACCTGTCTCTGTTCACTTAGCAGTAAGTAGGTACCTTGGTTTGAGTCGCATCCTAGGAGACAAGACTGAAAGAACCCAATCGAAATTAGACAAACAATCTCAGTTTAATTGACTTTCTTGGGTTATCGTGGGTGGGCTAATCTTAACCTACTCAAACACCTTTCTCCCCAGTTAACACCCTGTTCATCTCACACTTGTTAATACTCCAGGTAAGTTGTATTGTTTACATACGGTATGCAAATTGAAAATAAAATAAAATGATCTTACTCCGTTGGTGGTATTTTATGGTAACGTTAACACTCCTGCAAAGAGCCAACTCCACGGAGCGTCCAGCAGCTTCTAGGGTCACCCCATACATATTTTCTATAGACGGTGCAGAAACCTGCATTCCTCCGTTTTCTGTGTAGTCCATAATTCGTAGGAGATTAAATTGTTCAGAATAATTTGTAGCACCAGACAAAATTTCTGATAACTTGTGTGGTATTTGATGTGGATTATAATGACTACGATATACTTCACAAAGTTGTGGGGTTATTTATTTTTTTAGTCAGTGATGGTGATGTTTTGTTGGTGAGGAACCATTACACAATATATCCTGACATCTGTTACATGGTAGTGTCCCAAGATAACTCCAGATCATAGTGTTCAAGCCATACTTATGTTCATCATTTCAGGGACTCGGCATCACAATATCTTTTTTATGTTACTCTGTAAAAAAAGTTGAATAATTTATTAATGTCACTAGTGTCTCAGTATATTATTTTGTTTGGAGTTTCCGGTGTTGATATTAATGAAACACACACACAAACACTGAATTACTGGCCAGTATCTCTTAACATGCATGCTTTCAAAAGTTCTGGAGAAGATAGGAAGGAGAAAAAGGAGAAACTGGAACACTTGGTGACAACGAATTTGGGATGGAAAATCCTGTTTTACCATTTTTCTGGAGTTCTGTGACAGTCACAGAGATAAAATAAGACAGGGCTTGATGGACTGCTTTTTCTTGAACTCTAGGAAAGCATTTCATACAATGTCACACCATAAATTAGAAGACCATGTAGTGCTCCAGTGAGTCAGGAGGCACCTGAATGACAGACGACAGAGTAACAGTAAAGAATGACACTTCAAAATAGGAGGCAGTAACGAGTGGTGTATTGCAAGGATCAGTACCAGGAGCCAATATTGTTTCTAATATTCGTGAGCCACCTACCAGAGGAGACTGAGTCATATGTGCCACTGTAGATGATGTAAAACTAACGAGACGAATTAGAACAGCAGAGAACAGTGACAGACTCCAAGGAGACCTCAACCGACTACAGATGTAGACAAATAAGTGGCTTGTAGAGTTGAATCCGAACAATTGTAAGGCTATGTAAATTAGAGAAAGTAAGGCAAACCAGACACAGCGCAGCATGGGTGGAGAGGAGCTGCAAGTATCGGAGAGTGAAAAGGACTTAATGTTCAATATAACATTAAGCATATTGCCAGAAATACACATAAACTGCATAACGTCAGCGGCATATGCAAGATTAGGAAACCGCAGAATAGAATTCGGGAACTCGAATACTCGTAAATAATCATTCAGAACGTTACTGAGTATGCGGCTCCATCATGGAGCCCACACCTGGTCAGGCACGTAAAGAACCTCGGAATGGTCCAAAGGTTTGCAACCAGGCTAGTACCAAAACTGAGAGGAATACACAATGAGGAGGGGTTAAAGGAGCTGAACCTGACAGCCTTAGCAGACAGGACAAAGAGAGACATGATTATGATACAAACGCTTAACAGGAATTGATAGGGCAGACAAGAAAGAGACTGAATTAAAAAGGCCAAGATCAAGGGGGGGACATAGGTAGAAGCTGCAGATACAGATAAGCCATAGGGATGTCAAGAAGTATTTCTTTATTCTCAAGGTAGTTGAAAAGTAGAATGACCTGGATGAGACAAACCTTCAAGATAAAGCCCAAGAAGTCAGAAATTAGTGATGCCTGATGAAAGTAGTCTAGGAGGCACATAAACCCTCTAATTTTGATATCTTGTGCAAGGCTACGAAACCAAATATCCTTTGGTGAAATCAACAGTTTTTATTTAAAACCTTGTACACAACATATCTCAACCCACATCTGATCAAACATGTTAAAAACCTTGAAAGGATGCAATGGTCTGCAGCAAGATTAGTTCCCACAGCTGAACGGTGACTACGAGAAGAGGCTAAAGTAACTGAACATGGCGACCCAGGAAGAAAGCAAGACAACAAACAAAATACTCAGATGAATTGATAGGGTCGATAAATATAGATTTTTTTTTACAATTCGTAAAACTATTGTGTGTTGAGAATAGGCAAACTGACATCTACACAATCAAAAATTAATCCAAACTTTTAATATAAAAACATTTATAGTGGAGCACTGCATTAGGTCTATTGGCCCATTTGGCAATACTAGCCAGGTCCAGTTCATACACTTTCATATACCCGTCTAACCTATATTTAAAGTTGCCCAAAGTTTTTAATTCAAGAATATTCACAAAGAGGATACTGTAGAGATTGTTCCTTACAGTAATAACGTGCTGGTGTGAGACATAGAGAAGTGTAAAACAAACCCAGTGAACAATAAGGAAGCCATGGGCACAATACCAGAAAACTATCAACATCCGTGGGCCTAGTCTTTTCAACCTGCCACCAGCAGACATACTGCTGGAACAAGTGCAGAATGTTCACGAGGAAAATGGATTTGTACCTCCTAGGTGTGCCAGATAAACTAGGTTGTGATGGACACATGGGCCTCCCTATTGGTTTTAAACATTACTATTGGAAATCAAAAGGAAGGCCTGGCCCCGGGCAGGGCCGTGGGAGTAGAACTTAAGCTTGTTCCACTCATCTACAACTCTATTGCCAACCCGGTACTTTTTTATATCCTTTCCAAATTAAAATCTATACAGCTTAAACTTATTGCCGCGATTTGTCTTGGTTTGATATTTGTAGCACACTTCATCTCCTTTATTTATTTATTCTTGTCTTTCAACACACATACACTTAGATATACACTTCTAGTTGTATTATAGCTGATTGGTTAATTAGGCTTAAAACCTGTCGTCTGTTCAGTGTTATTAAGGCTGCATATAACTTGTTCACCACCAATCAGGAATACTTTAATCCCTAAAATATTGATTACACGTTCATCATAAATACACTGAGTCATACACCTAGCGGTGTATATATCCTGTGATAATTGGAGTCTTATCATCACTATCTACTGCAGTATCACTGTTGGCTTGATGTGGAAGATTTTGCAGTGAAGAATCACACGCCCGGCAGTTCATAAATAATTGTGTTGATGCCTGGTCACCCTGCCTCGGTGGGATACGGTCGGTGTTATATATATATATATATATATATATATATATATATATATATATATATATATATAATCATCTGATGGTTATATTTTACACATGGGGAGCGCTAAACTCGTCTGCAGAGGTCATACAGCGCCTGGAGGAATGGGAGACAGTAAGGTTCGATCCAGAGAACGGGAGGGCAGATCCAATTCCTTGGATCAAGAGCCCCTCACAGGCTATTTTTTTTCAACATCCACAGCAAGGTCTCTTCCTGAAAGTATTGACAACACTCCGTTCAGGAAAGAATAGATACGTTGCATACCTGGTATACTAGGTATAACTTAATATACTTGATACAAAGTATAACTTGATATAAAATATAACCTGATACAAGACATGACTTGCTAAAGCGCTAAACAGAGGGAGAAAGGTTGTGCCAGTAAAAGTTGGTTCAGCATCGTTTGTTTTCTTAACTCTTGCTAGCAGTACGACATTTAAATTCACATTTAGATTGATATTTATTTTCACTTTGCCGAGGCACTGAATTCGAATGCACTCTCTTTACAGTTATCACTTGTCGATCTTTTTCACAATTATTTCCACTCCTTTACCAAAATTACGGCATTTGGCTCTAATTCACTGCCTAATGCTTCCAATTTTGAGCATTTCTACTTTGCTTTTCTGTGTCTGTGGCGTTTATTTCATTGTTCCGTATTTTTCTTGGAAGACAATGAGAAACTGAGAAATGCACCAGTGACATACATAGGTACTGACACCGGGGAGAGAGAGAGAGAGAGAGACAGCGACTCACTGGAGTATAGAAACTTGACTGAGACTCGGCTATCATAGACGCCTACGTTCCTGTGGATATCTGATAACCTTATCTTAATATCTTTAGAGAGAATAAGAGAATATATATACATATATATATTATATATATATATATATATATATATATATATATATATATATATATATATATAATATATATGTGTGTGGTGTGTGTGTGTGTGTCGTGCCGAATATGTAAAACTGGTCAATTAGCAAGAACTCATTTAAAATTAAGTCCTTTCTAAAATTTTCTTTTAAACGTTTAAAGATATATTTTTTTCATTAATGTTGATGTAAAAATTTATAATTTTGTACCAAAAGGAACTTAGAAAACTTACCTAACCTTATTATAACAAGTGCAATTTATTTTAGCCTAACCCAACTAAATATATTTTAGATTTGTTTACAAAAATTTAATACTAAACAAACACAGTGAAATATATTTTTTTCGTTAGGTTCAGAATAATTTTGGCGAAATTATTGCATACACAAATTTTCGCTTGTCCTATATGGCAAGATGAGCGTTGCTATTTAAGCCAAGATCGCAAGTTCTGCCTATTCGGCACGACATATACATATATATATATATATATATATATATATATATATATATAATATATATATATATATAATATATAACGGGGAAAAGGGTGAGCGGTGCACTTAGGAGTCTGTGGAGACAAAGAACTTTGTCCTTGGAGGCAAAGAGGGGAATGTATGAGAGTATAGTTTTACCAACGCTCTTATATGGGTGTGAAGCATGGGTGATGAATGTTGCAGCGAGGAGAAGGCTGGAGGCAGTGGAGATGTCATGTCTGAGGGCAATGTGTGGTGTGAATATAATGCAGAGAATTCGTAGTTTGGAAGTTAGGAGGAGGTGCGGGATTACCAAAACTGTTGTCCAGAGGGCTGAGGAAGGGTTGTTGAGGTGGTTCGGACATGTAGAGAGAACGGAGCAAAACAGAGTGACTTCAAGAGTGTATCAGTCTGTAGTGGAAGGAAGGCGGGGTAGGGGTCGGCCTAGGAAAGGTTGGAGAGAGGGGGTAAAGGAGGCTTTGTGTGCGAGGGGCTTGGACTTCCAGCAGGCATGCGTGAGCGTGTTTGATAGGAGTGAATGGAGACAAATGGTTTTTAATATTTGACGTGCTGTTGGAGTGTGAGCAAAGTAACATTTATGAAGGGGTTCAGGGAAACCGGCAGGCCGGACTTGAGTCCTGGAGATGGGAAGTACAGTGCCTGCACTCTGAAGGAGGGGTGTTAATGTTGCAGTTTAAAAACTGTAGTGTAAAGCACCCTTCTGGCAAGACAGTGATGGAGTGAATGATGGTGAAAGTTTTTCTTTTTCGGGCCACCCTGCCTTGGTGGGAATCGGCCAGTGTGATAATAATAATAAATAATATATATATATATATATATATATATATATATATATATTATATATATATATATATATATATATATATATATATATATATATATATATATGCAGATGAATGGTTCAGAGAACCGACATGTTGATAAATTAGACACATGTGCAACTCTTGGGTATCTTTATTGAGGAAACGTTTCGCCACACAGTGGCTTCATCAGTCCATACAAATGAGAATCTTGAAGAACAGGAGGAGAATGAGGTAATCAGTCCCTCAACCTTGAGTCGATGTGGTCAGTCCATCAATCTATTCAAGATTGATGGACTGACCACATCGACTCATATATATATATATATATATATATATATATATATATATATATATATATATATATATATATATATATATATATATATATATATGTTTATGTGTAGTGTCGTGCCGAATATGTAAAACTGGTCAATTAGCAAGAACTCATTTAAAATTAAGTCCTTTCTAAAATTTTCTCTTGTACGTTTAAAGATATATTTTTTTCATTAATGTCAATGTAAAAATTTTTAATTTTGCACCAAAAGAATCTTAGAAAACTTACCTAACCTTATTATAACAAGAACAATTTATTTTAGCCTAACCCAACTAAATATATTTTAGATTTGTTTACAATAATTTAATACTAAACAAACACAATGAAATATATTTTTTGGGTTAGGTTCAGAATAAATTTGACGAAATTATTGCATACACAAATTTTCACTTGTCTTATATGGCAAGATGAACGTTGCTATTTAAGCCAAGATCGCAAGTTCTGCCTATTCGGCACGACTATATATATATATATATATATATATATATATTCTAGGTAGTAGGTTGGTAGACAGAAACCACCCAAAGAGGTACTACCGTCCTGCCAAGTGAGTGTAAAACGAAACCCTGTATTTGTTTTACATGATGGTAGGATTGCTGGTGTCCATTTTTCTGTCTCATGAACATGCAAGGTTTCAGGTACGTCTTGCTACTTCTACTTACACTTAGGTCACACTACATATACATGTACAAGCATATATATACACACCCCTCTGGGTTTTCTTCTATTTTCTTACTAGTTCTTGTTCTTGTTTATTTCTTCTTATCTCCATAGGGAAGTGGAACAGAATTCTTCCTCCGTAAGCTATGCGTGTTATACGAGGCGACTAAAATGCCGGGAGCAAGGGGCTAGTAACCCCTTCTCCTGTATATATTACTAAATGTAAAAGGAGAAACTTTCGTTTTTCCTTTTGGGCCACCCTGCCTCGGTGGGATACGGCCGGTGTGTTGAAAGATATATATATATATATATATATATATATATATATATATATATATATATATATATATATTATATATATATATATATATATATATAATCTAACGAGTTGATAAGACAAATTCTTCCTGATAACCTCAGTGACTCAGCAGGAATACAGGACCCTAGCTACGCCAGTGCCATCACTGAATGGGAGACTCTTGTTGTTCCAGCACCAAACCCTAGTGCAGCACTGGCTCACAAACAGTCAAGCTGGGATGGCCCGATCGCTGAAAAGGTGCTTGCCAACATGCTCAGGGCTGCAACATCAGATAGGAAGACTCCCCGTCTCCAGGCTGTGAGCGCACATCACTCCGGGGACTTCCTCCAAACAGTTCCCATATTGGCAATGGGAACGCGACTTGACCCTAAGACCCTCCGTATTGCAGTGGCTCTGCACCTTGCTGCCCCAGTTCACACAGAATATATGTGTATTTGCGGTGAAGCGCAAGCAGACCAATACGGTCTACATGGTCTTAACTGTTTCAAAACCAAGGGCTGGCAAGCAAGACACAATGAGGTCAATGACATAAAGAGAACCCTTGCTACAGCTGGATGCCCAGCCGAGAAGGAGCCCCGATCACTAGCAGCCAACAATACCCACAACCCAGCAAACTGCCAAGATGGGATCACCATCTATCCTTGGAAGAATGGCAAGCTCTTAGCATGGGACTATACCTGTGTGTCCACACTGGCTGACACCTACATCCATCACAGTGTTGGGCGAAAGGGAGGAGCTGCTGACCACAGGGAGGAGTACAAGATCAGCAAGTACAGGGATATAAGCCAACAGTATCAATTTGTCCCAGTGAGATCAGAGACCTTGGGATCATGGGGAAAAAATGCCACACGTTTCCACAAAAAATTGGGTTCCAGACTCGACACCACCAGGGACCCAAGGGCAGCCACTTTCATGTTCCAGCGCCTCAGCATAGCCATCCAGAGGGGAAATGCTTGCTGCATACTTGGCTCGCGTCCGGCTTCAGAGGAGCTGGAGGAAATTCATGATCTTTAATACAATTTACCATTGTATTCATGTTTGTGTTTTTCTGCACATGTATTCTGTTTATCAATAAATGTTCACATAGAATATAAAATATATAGGGGGTGGTAGAAGAAAATATTCAAACAGCTCCGGGGAGAACCTAGAGTTTTCCCTGAGGTGCGTTTATTGTCTTCTCTGAGGATGAGGGTCCCCATTCCAGCTATAGAGGTGGTACCTACCTACCTATATTATATATATATATATATATATATATATATATATATATATATATATATATATATATATATATATATATTTATAAAATCTCAACAAACCTGCCATATCACACCGAGGCAGGGTGGCCCAAAAAGAAAAACAAAAGTTTCTCTTTTCAAATTTAGTAATTTATACAGGAGAAGGGGTTACTAGTCCCTTGCTCCCGGCATTTTAGTCGCCTCTTACAACACGCATAGCTTACGGAGAAAGAATTCTGTTCCACTTCCCCATGGAGATAAGAGGAAATAAACAAAAACTAGAAAGAAAATAGAAGAAAACCCAGAGGGGTGTGTGTATATATATGCTTGTACATGTACGTGTAGTGTGACCTAAGTGTAAGTAGAAGTAGCAAGACGTACCTGAAATCTTGCATGTTTACGAGACAGAAAAAAGACACCAGCAATCCTACCATCATGTAAAACAATTACAGGTTTCCGTTTTACACTCACTTGGCAGGACGGTAGTACCTCCCTGGGCGGTTGCTGTCTACCAACCTACTACCTATAATATATATATATATATATATATATATATATATATATATTATATATATATATATATATATATATATATATATAAAATATATTATATATATATATATATATATATATATATATATATATATATATATATATATATATATATATATATTATATATATATATATATATATATATATATATATATATTATAATATATATAATAATATATTATATATATATATATATATTATATATATAATATATTATATATATATATATATATGTGTGTGTGTGTGTCGTGCCGAATAGGTAAAATTGGTCTTTTATATATATATATATATATATATATATATATATATATATATATATATATATATATATATTTTATTTAAACTGGTCAATTAGCAAGAACTCGTTTAAAATTAAGTCCTTTCTAAAATTTTCTCTTGTATGTTTAAAGATATATTTTTTCATATATGTAGACAGCCTGTACAGTCTGCACAGACAGCCTATGCTGTCTGCCAGCTTAGTTCATATTTTGC